GCCGCCCGTAAGTGGCAAGGGCTGGCTGGGTATTTGGTCCCAGGAAGGAAGAAAGCATCTGAGACAGGTCATGAGATCAACCTGCGATACACGAGTAGTGGCCAGCACTGGAAAGTACAGTAAGATAGAAAACACTACTTACTATAAGAATACAGAATAAAACACACAGGAGAGATCTAATAATAGTAGATGTACATAGTTCTCTAGGCTGCGATGACAGGCCAGGGTGACATAAATGTTTAACCAGGCAGCATCTGAGTGTGTAAGACTCAAGCATTCAATAACATCCAATCACTGGTTTTGTAGTAACTTCTTCATGACCATGACTTATTACAGTGGGCAATAAGCAGCTCAATAAAAAATTCTCTATAGCCATCTCTGAAAATATGCTAAACAGAAAACAGAAGCATTTGGCTTATACTAAACTATGACAGTGCCACAGGGATGGGGGGGGCGGTCAGAAAGGCTGAGAAAGAGAGCTTTGGCCGGGTACAGGTCCGTCCCCATGATGGGAGGGGGGCTGTGACGGGGAGAGGGGAGCAGGACTACTTTTCTATTTTCGAACCAACTTACAGACACCAGGGCTTACCTTAGTGAGTGGCTCAATTTTATATTGAAAATGTGTAGTACTAAGACTTTAAAAAATAGACTTTTTGGTGGTACATGAAGCAGGGAGAAAAGGAAGTGAGAGATCGAAATATTCATCTATCTTAATATTTCAAGCCCTCAAAACAACAACTGTTACAACCATTCAGAAACCGAGTTCTGCACAGTTATGTGTTGGAGGGCATGAAAGAGGACGATAAGTCCGTTCTTTAACAGATGGAAACAAGGCATACGTCAGAATCTACCAGAGCCCAAAATAACTTTGTTCGGTGCAGTTGTCAAAAATACAATTATATTAGTAATTTCATTTGTTCACCTTAAATGCTGATGTGCACGCATACACACACAGCCCCTCCCCGTTTTTTAAAGGGGAAAGGAAGGTAGATGGAAGGGAAGCATCCAGAGACAGTATCAACAAGGAGGCACCAGTAGCTGATATGAAGGGTATCGTTCTAACCAATACCGGAGGGTAAGTCAGGGTTGCCAGAAGAGCTACAGAACCCTCACCTGCAGTTCCCTTTTTTAATGTATCAGAATGTGCTGTAGTACACAATGTTCACATTCCTGTGGGGAGCTAGTACATGTACATAATACATCTTAAGCCCGTTTTCCCATCACTCTCCATTCCTTTTTTTTCTTTTGGTTCACATTTCCTTTTATTTTGCCAAGAAAATGACCTTGCTAAGTACATTGCAGTTATATACAATGATCACATTCATCACAGGGATTTGCACCTGTACATGAAATAACTCGACTTTTTCTCCCATTCTCTCTCCTCCCCTCAGCCTCTCTTTCCCTCCTTATTTACAAAAGCTTTGTTTTCAATTTTTCCTTCTTGTCTCCTTTGTTACTTCTCCCTTCTCTTCTTTCCTCCTCCCCGCTCTTCTTATGCTTCCTATTTGAACATTTTCTTCCTATTTCACATTATCCATTATATATTTGGGTCCTTATTTACATATTTGGTTTCTCCCCGCAGAGAAACAGTGCACTATTTACACGTGTGTCCAATTTATTTCACTACGAGTATGGTCTCAAGGTGCACTCATTTATCTAGAAATGTTTCAAGCTTATCTTTCTTTATAGCAGAGTAGTACTCCATTGTGTAAAAAAAAAAACTTTATTCATTCATCAGCTGATGGGCATTTATGCTGTTTCCAAGATTGGCTATTACAAATTGTACCACTATTAACATGGGTGAACATATGTCACTTAGTATGTAATTCTTTTGGAACACACCAGGAAGGGTAGTTGCTGAGTCAAATGCAACCTCTAGTCCTAGTTTTCTGAGGAATCTCCACACTGGTTGCAACAGTGGAAAAGGGTTCCTTTTTCCCCACAGTTTGGCCAGAACTTGTTACTGGTTGATTTCTTGATGACAGTCACTCTTTCTGGGGTGAGATGTACTCTCAGAGTTGTTTTAATTTGCATTTTATGAAAAACCAATGACGCTGAACATTTTTTCCTGTAATTATTTGCTGTTTCTATTTCATCACATGATCATTTTTGGATCGGGTCTTTAAATTTGGGGTGGTTCAATTTTTTTTTAGTTCTTTATATATTCTATGTAGGAGTCCTTTGAGGAACAGTGGGCAAACTTTTTTCCCATTCTATGGGCTGTCTCTTCACTCTGTTGGTGGTTTCTCTTGCTGCTGTTCTTCCTTGCCGATTTTTTTGTGATAGTTCCTGTACAATTGGGGTTTTCTTCATAAAGTCTTTGCCTGCACTTAAGTCTTCAAGACTGCTACCTATTCCACCTTCCAGTACATTTAGTGTTTCAGTTTTAATATTCAGATTTATGATTCATTTCAATTTTAGTTTAGT